TTGTTTTACTCTTGCTGTGTAGAACAACAAATTCAGCGCCTGACTGAAGAGTATGTGGCGATGGTGAACTTCACACTCCAGATCACCACAACAATGATATTGAAGGGTGAAGTGTGAAGCATGACGAACGCAGAACCTATCAGAGCTGCAGATTTTGCATGCATATTTTAGTCACTTGGTCTAAGAAAATTAAAGCAGACAAACTTGACATCGGGGGCGTTACATAACCGACATCTATCATGTGATGTGAGACCCTTATATAAACACCTTTTAAACCCCTTTAGCACAGCTAGCATCATCACACACATACATAACCCATTCTTAATACGTCACTATCTGAGCTAACCATAAAGTGTATTGTTAGTTAGTATATACACTCAGATGGGTCTAACAGCTTATGCCACCTAAAAGGATCTCTATAAGTTTGTCTCCAGAATTTTAAGATTCATATGCTCTGTCAAAGTTGTGTGCAGTTTATTTTGAACCCTGAATTGGCAGATGTGGTTAATGAATGTCATATTTATCATCTGCATCTCACCAACCTCTCTGCTTCCTCACAGTGTCGCACATCTTCATCTGTCCCTTCTCCGAGATCGCAGCGAGACCCAGCTCTGCTGTCCTTGCCGTCTTCCTCCACGCCCGTTCCTGCTCTGCCAGGCTGAGATGAGCTGGCATCTTACAGTGAGTGTGTGTGTGTCCGTTTAATACATGTAGAGCATCTGTGTTCCCTGTGCACAATTCTTCCACTCCAGCCAACGGCTTATCAGTGCATCTCTAACAGGGACAGACTGGTTGAGAGAGAGAGAGAGAGAGACGGTGTGAGAAACAGAAATTCTTCCTGAGGGAGATTGTGTGAGCAGCTGATTTGCTACGTCCAGCACACGTGCACGGCAAGCAAACTCAGTAAGCTTCTGTAAGTACAGTGTGCACATGTGCCATGCTCTCACAAAAGAAACCCACCCAGCTGGATGCAGCTGTGGTTATTGGAGGTGTGTTTCCCTTTAACAATCCATAGAGCCCTTTGCATTGCATTGGCCGGTCACATTGACGGCATACAAGCAGCTGCAGCAAGGATGAAATATTCACAACAAAAGAGACCGAGTTTAGATGCATGTGTTTTCTTTTCTAATTGGTTGCCTGGGTGATTGTGATATGCAAAATTGTGGGAGGCATGACACTGCATGCCAGTGTCCAGAAATAGCGACGGACAAAACCCGCTTTCATCCTGTGTATGGATTAGTGACATGTAACATAAAATATACAGCCAATCACAGATCAGATTAAAGGTTCTAGTACCATATCTTGAACATGTTTTTCACATTCCACAATGCTTCTGATTGGCTTGAGGATCTGCTCTCAGACAGAGAGATGACGTTATGTCTTCGCTATCAGTAACAACTGTGGATCCATATTGGTGGCTTTTTATGTAATAGCCCACAAGTATTACATTGCATTAGTCTTCGTTTAGCAAATATTTTCCATCTAAAACAACTTGCAGTACATGTTTAGGGACAATCACCCTGGAGCAATGGGTTGGGTAAACTCATAAATCATCCTTTCAGCACTCAGTTCAGAACCTACAAGCTGTAATTTGTGAACCACTAAGTCACACCACTCATGCATATAGAAGAGACAGAGAATACAGGCTACATTTTCACCCTTTTCCACTCTGTCTACCCCATATAAATGTTTTGTACAAACACCTTTGTTTGGCTAGAAAAGGGCTATTGGAAAGTCCTACCATTATTACATATGAAAAAAATATACAGTTCATTGACCATAAATTGATTGTTTATAGGGTGGGGCATGTTGTCACAATGGGAATCAACTAAAGGCGTTTCCACAAACTATTCAGCAAACATGTTGAAAATATATATCAAGATTTTCTTTTTGGTGTTATTTTAGTATTTATTTACTATAGTATGTGTTTGTTTTTGTTTGTTTGTTTATTTGTTTTTATTTATATATATATATATATATATATATATTAGTTTTAGTAATTGTATTAGTTTATATTAATAATAATTTTATAGTTTTAGTAATTTTAGTACTTCAGCTTAAACTTATTTCAGCACTGGATATAAAATCAAATGCCAAAATATATTTTATTAAAGTCTGTAATTACATTACATTAATGTTGTAATTGTTTTACAATTAAATGTTAAATATTTTTTATATTATACAGTTAAGTTCCACAATTACATTGGAATTTTTTGTGTGGAACTGAAAAAAATTTAAATAATTTTTTGAAACTTTTTATTTTATTTTTATTTTTTACTTTTGGGCTGCTGAGATACAGCCGTTTTGACTGCTAGCCTCGGTTTAATCTATTTCCTAACATTACACCATTTATCAAATGCAAATTACATTTATCTGGAAATGAGCATCAAAGGCAAGAAAATTATTTTAAAATGTTCTCAGGGTACAAAGTACGTCTTTAATTTGTGTAAATGCAAATTATCTGTTAGTTACACTAAAAATATACCCACAGAGAGACTAGTTGGTAGTTAGAAGCAGGTTAGGTCAGCCCTTCCCGGGTGGCGGCACTTCCAGGTTGGTCAGATTCTTGGGACTTCTGAACGAGGAGTAGCTAGCTGGAATGTTAAGTCCCTACATTACAGTAATGTCCCGTACTTATCATATTTAATCTCTGGTTAATAAACAAACAGATTTTTTGGGTGTCTATTAGAACGTCATCCATGAAATCTTTTGATTCTGTAAGTGGATATCAGTACGTACATCTGAAAGTGGGTGTGAGAGGGAAGAATGTGCATGAGGAGTCAATGAGTGATTGGCAGTATGTTTGATGTGAAGACGAATGAAAGAATGAGGAAATGGGGCTTGTCAAAGCATTATTTTCCCCTTCCTGTCAGAAAGGTAGAGTCAGTGTTATGCTGACAGGAGCTGGCTGACGGATGTCTGTTGTCTGCACCGATATGTAGGATACAAGAGGAGAGGAGAGACTGCCCAGGGACTGCATCTGAACGCTTCGAACAAGAGTTCACTGACAGAAGGAGGTCACTGAATTATTATCTGTATAGGTACTTTATCTTTTTCCACTATATTTTTGCTCATATTTTGCACCTATTATGTTGTATTTAAATTAATCCTAACTTGTTCATTACCACTTCATTTTTGTCTCATATGGAGATTATTTAAAATATATAGTTAATT